CCGCCCACCTGTCTTGAGGTCCCGGCTGCTCGGGAAGCGGTGGGGGGCGGCTAGCTTGGGCTAAGCTACGTCTAGGACGCTCCACACCGGCTACGTGGGCATAGGTAGATGGCCTATTCTCCCTAGTGTGGAGACGCGCTTCTAAGTCTGTGAGCCTCGCCTCCAATGCTGCTAGCATCTGACATTTATTACAAGTACCATTATCGCTAAAGGAGGCAGAGGAATAACTGAACATGCGACACTCCAAGCAAGAGAAAGGAGGAGAGGAAGAGGGGGAAGCCATTGCTCTCGATTAAGCTACTAGCTTAGCTAGCTTCTAAACTAGCCGACCTAAAGTAGCAAGTTAAATTTGGTAGTTAGCAAGAACTTCTGCAAAACAAGTGCTTTAAGTGGTGCAAGCGTATGTTGTCACTCAGAAATTCAGATGGACCTAGAAAATAGTGAGTTTAATTCCTAAACAATCTGGAAGCAAGCACAACACAGTGCAGGTACAGAAAACAGGAAATGAGTACGGTTTACCGCAGAGGCAGGAAACAACAGACCGTCAAAGGTTTCGCATGTGTGTCAGTTCTGGCTGGGGTTGCCTCAGGAGCCCAGACCAGTGTGGAGAGCAGGTGATTCTGTTGAGGGTGCGGGGACCCAGCTGCTTAAGGGTTTGTGTGTGTTATTCAGCCTAAAGAAGTGCAGTCTTCACAACACTGTATTGTCATTGTTGAGCCATTAACTGTAGGTACAAAACCATAGAAACTAGTTCAGTTCATAGTACAAACATGCAGAGAACAAGGTATTTAGATTATATCATAAGACAATGGTGGTGTTCTGTGATTCCTACACACTATAACCCATCAAAGAAATTAAAATGGCATCCTAACAGCAGCATTAAATAAACATTTCTCCCCAAGGTGCTAGAAGACAACGACTATGGCCGTGCTGTGGACTGGTGGGGGCTTGGGGTGGTGATGTACGAGATGATGTGCGGCAGACTGCCGTTCTACAACCAGGACCATGAGAAGCTGTTTGAGCTCATCCTCATGGAAGACATTCGCTTCCCTCGGACGCTCGGTCTCGAAGCACGCTCCCTGCTTTCTGGTCTTCTCAAGAAAGACCCGCTGCAAAGGTGAGGCTGTAGCGAATCTCTTCCTGAGAGCCGTCAGGCCATTTTTGAAGCAACTGTTTGTTTTTACTCTAGTCCAGCTGGTAAAACCAGGAGAACACTGCACTTAAATGTTAGAAAATGTGTAGTCTCACCTTACAGCGAAACAGTGCATTACTTGACTCTAGTTTTTTTTTTATGATAGAATAGCTAGAAAAGTGGAAAGGGAATGATTCAATGTATTTGTCCTTTTGTACTCGTCTTTCAGGTTAGGTGGAGGGCCTGACGATGCGAAGGAAATCATGCAGCACAAGTTCTTCGCAGGAATTGAATGGCAAGATGTTTATCAAAAGAAGGCAAGTTTCTAACATGTTCACCCCTCCCCACCCCCCCACCCCCCTGGGTTTCATGCCCCCAAGGGGATTGATAAAGTTATGCCACTTGAAGCACCACCATCTAGAAAACAGACTGTGATGTGACCGACAGCTGTTACCGAAATGACTGACAGCACTGGTGTGCTGATATGTCTGTGTCTCATCTCCTCTTCGACAGCTGGTCCCGCCATTTAAACCCCAAGTTACCTCAGAGACGGACACACGATATTTTGACGAGGAGTTCACAGCACAGACCATCACTATTACACCACCCGGGCAAGGTACCTCCATGCCAGACACGCTCATACACTACACTTAATATGACCTTTCTTATGCAATGGTGACCCGACTTTCCCCTTGGGGAGTATCATTCGAAGTGCTTTGTCTGTCTATATGGTGCCGTATAGCAATGAGTTTGAATGTAACAAGACTGTTGCACACGGTGGACTGTGAAAATTAATTACCACCTAACTTGTATGATAAATTTCCATCCACCTCCTATGAGACATTGACAATGAGTAATTACACTTGGTTCACTTAAGATGAAAACTGACTTTTAGTTGTCCCAAGAGTCACTGAATAACTAACTCTTGCGGGGGAAAAAGGTTACTCATTTAGTGTCGCTGAATTAGGTTGCGGTGATGTGTGAACCGATTGTCACTTTAAGTTTCATTTTTATTAACTATGAGGCTCCTGAGAGAAACTTGGAAACTGTACAGATTCCTTTAGTCATAAATGTTGAGTATTTTTCATTAGGCAGAGTTTTCAGCTGGGTTCTGTGGGAGAGACATGAGTTGGTTTCAGGAAGCGTTCAGGGGCTGGTAAAGAGGCCATGCTGCAGGTTAGCTACAGTAGCTCCCCTGAGGGCAGTCTGCCCCCTCCTGGAGAACCAGCACCATAAAATTATGCCTCACAAAGTTATCAGATACTTCTGAATGACCGCCAGTGTGTTAATACACAAATTACACAGCATAAAAAAAACAAGATGATAAAAAACAGCATATTGCAACAGCAGGATATTGCCAAGCAGGTGCAGCATTCATTGTTTATTTCACTCAGCAAAGACAGTGTACTAAGTTCAGAAAATTGTACTGCTACTTTTACTCTAGTCCAGCTGGTAAAACCAGGAGAACACTGCACTTAAATGTTAGAAAATGTGTAGTCTCACCTTACAGCGAAACAGTGCAGTGTACTTGACTAGGAATAAATACATGAATATGTATTTTTACTAGAAGGCCATATTTAAAATCACTTCTCACTATAAATGTGTACATTTGCAAACAATATGCCAATAAATATTGACATATCCTGGGAAATTGTACATTTGATCTGTTTATAGATGAAATAGCCTGTATGTGTGTAATCCAGTCAAATGAAGATATGCAAACCTCAGGACCCTTAAATAAGCATAAAACTGTTATATTCATTGATTCACAATATTGTAATTCTCCTGATACACACCGTCACATTGTCTACAGTTAAGTTCTAGAGAGACCAACAGTTTTTTGCCCTGTGTCACCAGATGACAGTATGGAGTCCTTCGACAGCGAGCGGAGGCCCCACTTCCCCCAGTTCTCCTACTCAGCTAGTGGTACCACCTAAGTGACTCTCAGACATTCCTCTGGTCCCGCCATCTCCCCTCACCCTCCACCTGACTACACTCCCAGAATGGTCGGGACCGCAGCCCCATCCTCCTGGCATTGTCTGCAGATGGCGTCGATGTAACATTTACAATCTGCAAGTTGCGTTTTTACAGGAAGGAGGAAATGCAAAACAAAACAAAGATAACTATAGTTGTTCTGTGTGGCCTTTGAAGACTGACCACGAGGAGAGAGCGCATTAACACTACCCTGCAGCTCCTGGTTATTATGTACCGAGCAGACATCCATACACCATAATGAATTGGGAAGTGTGGTTCTGTTATGCCACTGTTGTGAATTTTGATTAGGGGCCATTTTATATTGAACATGCACAGTTAAACATGAACCAACCATTTCAGATGTATGAAAGGCACGCTGTGGACCAAAACTATCATGTGAGCAGTGTGTGTTGTTTGGTGAGTGGGTCATGAAACGTGCTCTGAACAATTCACCAACCATTCAGACCAAGATATTTTCTAACTTCAAGCGTGAATGTACCGTGTAAAATAAAGTTGATGTTGATGATGCATACTTCTTTGTTGTAACACATGGCTGATTCTCCTAAGACTGAAATGCCATCTTCTGGAAAGGATTTTATCACTTTCTTACCACCCTGATGCAAAGCTGATACCTGTTGGTCTGTTGTAGTATCGTGCCACACCACCATGGGTTTATAAATCAATTGTGCAATACACACTGGTGCAAAGAATGCAGATTGGTTAATCATTAAGGTAAAAGCTGGCCTGCAGTGGATTCCTCTTGTAATTCTCTGCACATCAGAGGCACTGAGAGACCCCCAATTTCCTGTTCAGGATAATAAATAGCTCCTCCCACCCCCCTCTGATGTTAAATGCTTATAGTTCCTGATGCCTTCTTATCTTGATGCTGTGCTGCAGACACCTCCCAGTTTTCCTCTGATCACTGTCACTGACCCATCAGAAACTCTTCTCTCTTGTGGGTTTTTCTTCCATTTACAGTACCAGATTGGGTGTTTCCCACCCAGTACATTCACTGCTGCCTCAGTGAGGCCACATTAACATAATATAGTTTGTTAGGAATACTTTGCGAATTGAGCTTCAGGGGGAAACATGCAGTCATCCTTGAATTTGCTCCTTTAAAGGACTTCACAAGCTTCTGAATTATTTATGAGACAAACCTTGACAAAAATGAGTCTCACTGTGCCAATGACATGCACTTTGCTGCCCCGTAATTATTGTTTTTGGACTCTTGTTTGTACTGTGTGGTTGGTAGGGACTAAATTAGCTTTTATTATATAAATTTGAATGTGGTGGATTCAACTGAGCAAATCTTGTTTTATTTGTATTTGTTCCCTCTTTTTTTTTTTTTTTTTTTTAACTGAGGCTAAACTGCGACTTTTGGGATCTGAAGTACTTGTAAAGTGCACCAGGAGTTTTTCAAAAATATTTTCAAGTTGACAGATAATCCTTTTTCAAAAGTTTGTCATACATTATTGAATGTAACAGTTTATGCCATGTTTTCACTTCAGTCTTTTGCAAACCTTTGCTTAGTTTTGGAATCTATTTCTTATTCCTATGCACATTCACCCTTTGCTTTCACCTTCTGAAAATAGGGAAGTTCATTTTATACTTTTTATTTTTTACTTCAGCTTTTTTTTGTACCTGCTCTCCCATGTTGCTGTGACTGAGGACACCAGCTTTAGTAAACAAATAATATAAACTTTGTACACTGTTTTCACTTGTTTTTTTCAAATGGATGAAATAAAAAGTCTAAACAAAAACAGCTTTGAGGACTCTTATTGTGAAATCTTAAAGCTAAAGTTCACATTTTTGTGTGTTGTGATGAGTCAGGAACTACATTGTAGATTTTATATTAACACTAGGCTTTATAATCAGCCAGAGGCACTGTTTTGGGGTTGTCAATCTGCCTGTATGATTCTTGCGAATGCAATATCTCATCAAAGGTCAAGGTCAATGACCTCACCTCTGTCGCATACCTGTAAATTTGACTGGTTCATGCCAATTCTAGTTATACCAGGTCAGTTTAGATTAATGAAACCTTACCACATCTAGTTGAAATTCTTTGTTTTTTGCTGTTAATTCTAAGTGTGAAAAAATGTAAATGTGCCTTTTGAATTTAATATCTGCAGAAGCAGACTTTTTCTCTCTGTCACTAAATAGTAGCAAAGTCAATAGGAGCAGGAATTTTGTTCATCCAAACCTCACCGTGATCACACTGTGCAGACAAAACATGGTTAAATGTTACAGCACTCAGCAGCTCTGACTGTGCCTTGGCTGTGTTCTGTGCCTCTGCAGGACTGCTCAGGTCCACATCTGGGGCTCTGCAGCTGGTCGGAGAGAGGGAGAGATGCTCCCCCCGGGCCCTCAGGCAGATGGTACAGTCTCTGGAGCAGCTGTCCACAGCCAGGGCTCACAGTATGTCTGTGGGCCAGCTGTGGTCTGCAGTGTCACACAGAGAGACCAAGGTCTGGCCCAGTGTGGCACTCACCTGACAACCATCCCTCACCTGATTGCAGCTGCACTGCCCAAAACACTCTGCAGAGCTGGAGCTGCAGCTCTGCCACAGGGCTCCCCTGGGTGATGTAGTGTTGTGCTGTGTGGAGATGTCACTCACGCACAGCCTACAAGCTCTGCTCTGCTCTGCTCTTCTTTGTACTAGATGCAAAAATATTTCCTGTAACAGAAATTATGTTGTTCTTAATACTGAATCTGCTTTGTGAATATACAGAAATTAAAGACAGGAGAGAAGAAGAAGGATTTTTAGATATTTAGGCACTTGAAATATGGGTTTTAAAGAAGTGGATGAAACTCACCAGCAGCATGCATTTCCTGTTTTCCTCTTTCAGAGCTATGTATGTGCTCTAGTTGTCATTTTATATTAGTTTTTAACCAACTTATGTTTTACCAGGGAAGCCTCTTTTTTATTGGTGCCCTGGCCAAGTATATTTCTAGTGTATTTTCTAACTAATGAATAGATTAATGTTCAGAGTGTGGTACTCAAGGACATTTTTTTTTTTTGCAGGATGGACACTGCCTCTCACCATGCTTGAACTATGCTCTTCACTGACTGCAATGCCTTGGTGCAATACATACAGAGCCTATAAAAAGTATTCACCCCCTTGAATGTTTTACCCTTTTATTGATTTTATAAATCAATCATGGTCAATATAATTTGGCTTTTTTGACCAAAATAAATTACAAAAAACCTCTTTAATGTCAAAGTGAAAACAGGTTTCTACAAGGTAATGTCAAATAAAAATATGTTGTGTGAAATAAGTGATTGCATAAATATTCAGCCCATTTAATTCAACAGAGGTCCAGCCAATTGGTGCTAGTAGTCTCACAATTAGTGAAATGGGGATCACCAGAGCTCAGTGATTGTAGTATAAAGACACCTGTGTCTGGAAGGTCCAGTCACTGGTTAATCAGTATTCCCGGCTACCATTACACCATGAAGACAAAAGGACACTCCGAGCAACTCAGAGAAAAGGTTATTGAAAAGTATAAGTCAGGGGATGGATACAAAAAACATTTCCAAGGCACTGAACATCCCCCGGAGTTCAAGTTATAAATCCATCATCAACAAATGGAAGGAATATGGCACATACCTAAATCTACCTAGATCAGACTGTTCTCACAAGCTGAGTGACCGTGCAAGAAGGAGACTAGTGAGAGGCCACCAAGACACCTATGAATACTCTGAAGGAGTTACAAGCATCAGCAGCTGAGATGGGAGAGACTCTGCATACAACAACTGTTGCCTGGGTTCTTCACCAGTCAAAGCTTAATGGGAGAGTGGCAAAGAGAAAGCCACTGTTGAAGAAAACTCATATTAAATCTCAACTGAGTTCACTAAAAGGGATGTGGGAGACTCCATGGTTAAATGGAACAAAGTTCTTTGAGACCAAAATGGTGCTTTTTGGCCATCAGACAAGATGCTATGCTTGGCAGACACCAAACACTGCACATCACCACAAACACACCATTCTCACAGTGAAGCACAGTGGTGGCAGCATCGTGTTGTGGGGATGCTTCTCAGCAGCCGGCCCTGGAAGGCTTGTAAAGGTAGAGGATAAAATTAATGTGGCAAAATATAGGAAAATCCTGGAGGACAATGTTATTCAGTCTGCAAGAGAACTACATCTTGGGATAAGATTTATTTTCCAGCAAGACAATGACCCGAAGCATACTGTGAAAGCTACACAGAAATGGTTTAAAGACAACAAGATAAGTGTTCTGGAGTGGCCGAGTCAAAGCCCAGACCTTAATCCAAAAGAGAATTTGTGGCTGGACTTGAAAAGGGCTGTTAACACCAGATCCCTGTGCAACCTGGCAGATTTGGAGCAGTTTAGCAAAGAAGAATGGAGTAAAATTGCAGTGGCCAGATGTGCAAGCCTGACTGAGACCTATCCACACAGACTCAGTGCTGTGATTGTAGCCAAAGGTGCATCTACTAAACAGGGGGTGAATATTTATGCAATCACTTATTTCACATTACATATTTTTATTTGATTAACATTACTTTGTAGAAATCTGTTTTCACTTTGACATTAAAGAGGTTTTTTGTAATTTTTTTGTCAAAAAAGCCAAATTATACTAACTGTGACTGATTTATAAAATCAATAAAAGGGTAAAACATCCAAGGGGGTGAATACTTTGTATAGGCACTGTATAACATAGTTCAAGCAATAGAAGCACACAGCACTGGATAAAACATGATCCTTGATGACAAGGTCCACAGTGAATTTAATGCCTTGCATTTCAGCTTCTTCAGCTTCACTCCAGGCTAAACACAATTTAAAACTATATTCCTCTCAGTAGCTTTCCATACATCGCTGATTCATGTGGCTTGGAGGAAGAAACCTGTATCACCATGTGGTGAAACAGCAGGTTTGTTTATATCAGGGTGGGGAGTTTCAATGTGCCAGAGGTCAAGATGCTTTCAAAACAGGTTCAACCTGTTAACTACAAGCCCCTTCATAACACTAACAAGGGGTGGGGGTGAATCCACCTATACTTAGTTTAAGGACCTTTTTAGAGTGATAATAAATCTATAGTATACATCCTTAAATGCTTAGTGAGTTTAAATATACTGTGTATATACATATATATATGAATAATGGCCTTTTAGTGACTGGAGACACATTTTCATCATTTTTACATAACTCCAAAATATCTGCATATGTTAGCTGGAGTGACTGACTGTGAATGCTTTATCTCTGGACATACGGAGATACACCGACACTGTGGCTCTGTTTAAATCTCCCTTAACAACAAAAATGCATTTTCAGTGCCGTAATTTGAAACCAGAGCGCCATCTAGCGGGTACTGGGTTTATGTAAAAGCATAATTCGTATTCCTTATAAACAGCATCATTGTTGAATTTTAACTGAGAGAAGAGGATTAGATCAAATGCATACTGCAAGTTGAATTTAAATTAGGGTATTTTGATAAATTACCTTATATCCTTTTCAACTAAAATAATTCCCCATTAGAATACTGATTGGATCTCAAATCCACGCTACTCCTTGACACAGTCGTTGGATAAAGTATTTTACCACATTGCCCCAGAAACACATTCATCTTCTTTAATTCAAGAGAGGTATGATTATCTTTGTGTTGTCCGGCTCCACTGTGAGAAACGCAGTACGGAGAAAGTCCGATCGGAACGGGAATGGAGCCGAAGATCGTCTAACATGGAGATGAGCCACCACACGGCCAAAGCGCCACTGCCCAGCTGGTAAAGGTAGAGCTAGTTTTAGCTATGCCTTATATGCTTATAATGTGAACTACTGCTGGATAGCTTGTTATTTTGCCTCTTTCTGAAAAGTAACTAGTAGCTAAAATGATCCAATAAATCTAGTGAGTACAAAGTACATTATTTTACCCTGAAATGTGGTGAAGTCAAAGAGTGGAAATAGAAAATGAAAATACTCAAGTACAGATACCTCAAAATTATATAAGCACAGTACTTAAGTAAATGTACTTAGTTGCTTTCCACCTCTGCTGGCAATAGATTTGTGTCTCAGCAAGACTCCATCTTGTGTAGTTTCGCACTGTGGACTTTGAAACCAGCAATCTGAGTTCAAGTCATGGTGGGACCTGTCTAGCAGCTTTCTCATCTTTGCATTAATATACTGTATAAGGGTACTGTTCAGAAAGCATCTGAAAATTATAGCGACAATTAAAGTACATTAAGTGAATGCACTGGATCTAAATCTGTAAACCTTCCCTTACAGTTGCAATATATGTCTCTGGGCTTCACTTTTTCTCAGTCATTTATCCACAAAGAATAAACAAAATGCAATATGTGGGCGATGTTAAGGGTACAGTCTGATGGTTCTGTGGCCTACGGGTACCTCGGGTCACTGAGACCGTACCCAGTAGGCCCGTTCAGTAATCCATGTCTGCGCTACACGTGGGTGAGTCCATCATTTGTGTTCAGTGTGTTTCTGCTCCTTGGAATGGGACAGAGTGAGAGGTCTTCCTTCTCGCACCTCCGCTCAAACTCTGTATAACGTTTGACCGGGCTTGTCAAGCTACGTCACCGTGTCGGGAGAAGAGGCGTTGGAGCTGAGTTTCACCCGGTTGTCATTCCCAGAGTAGGAAGAGGGTGTGATCGACAAGTACCTGTCCAGTGTTACCTGTACTCTTGTTATTGATACAGCTTGTCGTCGAGTTTCATTTGCCGTAGGACGTTAAACACTGGCTTCACTCAGGCGTAAAACGGAGAAGGCATTAAAGGTACGTCCTAGCTGGGAGCAAGTCATTGGAAAACGCTTGTTTCAGTGTAGTGGGAGGCTCCCTGATGTTAGCCGAACCACCCCACTAGCATAGGCACACTCCAGCAGCCCCCGTGTCATTTAAAATAACGTGTTGCATTTACGTGACAATAAAAACGGCTTTTAACGTCTAAAGACTACTTCAGCTAATACTTTTAATAATGTTAAGCTAGACTACCATTACAGGAAGTTAAAAAAAAACAACCCTCATAACTGGAAGATGAAGTTGTTAGCTAAAGTTCCAACAACAGGTTTCCCAGCATGCGTAGACTAAAGACTGGATCAGGCCCTGACGTAGCCTCCTTTCAGGAAACCTGCATTTTGATTAGTGTGAGCTGCATATACTGTCTGTCCCTAACCAGGCTGACTCACCAGCACATTTCATTGTGTTACCTCAATAGTAACACAGCCACAGTGGAACTGGATGGATAAACTGGTCTAGTTTAGGTGATATGGTGACTTCCCCTCAGTAATCCCTCCATTCAAGCACGCTTTCACCAGAGCAGCCCTTTAATAACACTTGGCATTGTTCAGGGACACTGGTATTGAATTTTGCTCATGCTTTCTGATTGGTACGTCATCATACTACAGCCATTCAATTCTCAGGTTGTCCTGTTTGTCTCTGAATATTTTCATTGCTGTCTTTCCCCAGAATGTTAAGAAGATCCTGACTCGTGGCTCCAACATGAGTGTGACATCATGGTTCCTGGTCAGCAGCTCAGGCACACGCCACCGGCTGCCACGGGAGATGATCTTCGTGGGCCGGGATGATTGTGAGCTAATGCTGCAGGTGTGTGACTTTGTGTGTGCTTTGCATTTACTAAGCAAACACCTGTAGAGTGTCATATGAATGGCTCTTCTCTATAATCTCTGAGATGATGGGCAGAATATGTTTTCATTACTCTTGCTGACAGGACAGCTATGTGAAACACCAGTGAGAGGCTCCTGGCATGTTTCGTGTGCGTGCATTTCTGACTGTGTAACTTAGTGACAGTGGCTTGACACAAAGTTGCCCCTGACAGCATTCTCTTGTGTTGTTTTTCCATGCTGTGTCTGTCATAAACACGCTGTCTTCGTGGTCTTTGCATGATACTCTCCTATTTTCTTCTCACTCTAAATTTATGTTGCCTTAGAAGCAGTTGTTTAAACTTTACTTAGTCGGGGTGTTATGTTCAGAAAAGCCCTGCAAGCCACAGAGGTCGGTTTGATTGAAAAGTAGTTCGAGTCCTTACTGTACGTAGGCGTCACAGGATCCTGGAAAAAAAACCTCAGCTTCTCCTGGACTCAGATTATGTAGTCGTGCTGCTTTCGAACTTGGCACTAAATGTCTTTAAATCTTTGATCTTTAGTTTTGTTTGTTTGGAGCTCAATGCATCTTTCTGTTGAAACCAGTTTGTAATGTGAGAATCTTGTTTGGCATGAAAAGTAGAGTTTAAAGTGAAGTCATATTAAATGGCACAGCTGAGGGCTGGAAAGTTTTGACGTTCCCTGATAACTTGTCCCTGTTCAGTGCCTGTCTGTATGAACAGTAATTAGACCATATGCCTCACATATTCATAGTGACTGCATTTAATCTCTTTCAGCAGTGTGCTTAATGTTCCCTAGTGCCAGTTTACATTTGTTCTCTGACAAGGAAGGCAAAGTCAAGCTAAACATTGTCGCGTTAACAGTGTGGAATTTTTAGTGCTGCTACACAGGTAAACTAATCGATAGGCTGGCAAGTATTTACAAGAAGTTGTTTGAAAGTCCACTGAATGGACAGGCCAGTATGATTGGTACACACAGAAAGATGGTGGTAACTGTGCACGTTACTTTGGCTGTCATCTTTGATACTTGTGATTGTTGTGACAAGGGGGCCCAGTGTGCCTAATGAGCAGAACACAGAGACTGAGTGGGTGTGAATGACTTGCACCATTTGCATTTCATTAATGAAAGCATATTTACAAGGAAGCACATTTTTCCACTGGTTAGTGGCTTAACAAGCAGAGTTTGCTGGCTAAGTACTGGGGGAAGGTTTGTGTTGCTCTCTACAGATGTGTAGTTTTTATTCACCCACAGGTCCTAAATTTGGATCATAGGGAGTGAATGATAATGACCTTTAGGGCTGCAGCTAATGAATATCTTCTTCACTGAGAAAGCTTCTTCAGTATTTGGTTTATAAAAAGTAAGTTTCAAGGATTTTATTGTCAATTCACTATATGTGCAGGACATACAGAAAATCAAAATACCGTATCTCTCTCACGTAGTGTTGGGTGCCATAACATTTAGGAACTAAAATAGAACAAAGTAGAATAAAAATAGAATAAGAACTGGATTGACGTAATTAGGATAAATCTAAACGGTTCAGCCAATAAGCTGTGACTCAAAACCGTGTACAGTCAGTGACAGTAGTGCAAACAATGATAGGAGATTGTCAGATGGTTCAACATCACCAGGGTGTTGGTGATGAGGTGCAAATATCATACGAGGTTTACATGGACAGTATCGCAAATGACCAACAGCAGCAGATTTACATATAATATAACAGATGGTAAAACAGTAGAATTAGTTTTTTTTTTGTTTCCACAACAGTAAGCAGCAGATTTACCTGTAATATAACAAAAAGGGGGAATGTATTGAGTTTGTGCAAACAGCAGGGGTGGTCTTCCTATATCTTTTTATGCTCTGTGGTGGGTTCAGCATCCTCACAGCCTGGTGGATGAAGCTGTTTGTAAGTCTAGTGGAGTGGGCCTGAAGACGCCCATACCTTCTCTCTGAAGGCAGGAGTCTTGAAGATGTCTGGAAGGGAAGGCAGAGGGGCACCGATGATCTTACTGGCTGTTTTCACTATGCGTTGCAGGGTCCTTCTGCAACGCTGCAACGTTACAGGAGGTAGTACAGGCTCTGTACCACACAGTGATGCAGCCAGTGATGACGCTTTCAATGGTGCCCCGGTAGAAAGAGTGCATGATGGGTGGTGGGACACTAGCTCTCCTCTGTTTGCGGAGGAAGTAGAGGAATGTTTGAACCTTCTTGGCCAGTGATGTGGTGTTGTTGGTCCAGGAGAGGTCCTCAGAGATGTGCACCCCCAGGAACTTGGTGCTGCTAACTCTCTCCACTACGGCACCATCCCTGTAGGAAAGTCCAGCACCCAGTTGCAGAGAGAGGTTTTGAGTCCCAAGTGTCCAGGTTTTTGTGTAAGCTGCTGGGGAATGATTGTTGAATGCTGAACTGAAGTCTAGGAACAGCATTCACATGTAAGAGTTTTTTGAATGTAGGTGGGTTAGGATTGGATGGAGAAAAAAAGTAATAGCATCCTCTGTGGACCTGCTTGACCTGTATGCAAACTGAAATGGTCGTGAGCGGAAGGAAGGATGGACCTGGCCTTCTGCATGACCAGCTGCTGGAAGCACTTCATACTAACTGAAGTCAGTGCTACAGGCCGATTAGTCATTGTAACTGGTTTTGGTGGGGCTTCTTTGGAATCGGAATTATTGTGGCAGCCTTGAAACACGTGGGAGCAACCGCTTGGCTCAGAGAGATGTTAAAGATGTCTGTGAGGATGTCCTTGAGCTCCTCGGCACAGTCCTTTTAAAACATGACCAGGTATGTTATTTGGTCCAGCTGCCTTGTGTGGGTCGATCCTCGACAGGGTGTTCTTCACACTAGCTACAGACAGACACACAGCCTGCTCGCCCAGGGGAGGGGTGGTCTTCTGTGCTGGTGTGTTGTTCTGTGTTTCAAAGCAGCCAAAGAAGTCATTGAGGCTGTTCAGCAGAGAGCTGTCACTATCACAGCTCTGAGGTGGGGGTTTATAGCCTGTGAGGGTTTGGATGCCCCTCCAGAGACTCTGTGCATCTCTAGTGTTGCTGAAGCGTCCAGATATTTTCTTGCTGTATTGGTGTTTTTCCTCCCTGATTCCATGGGACAGGTTGGCTCTTGCTGTTGCTAGGCCTGTGGCGTCGCCGGCCCTAATGGCTGCATCCCGAGCCCTCAGGAGTCTGTGAACTTCACCTGTCATCCATGGCTTCTGGTTGCCATGTACACTGATATTTTTGCAGTATCAATGCCACTGTGATGTATGCTGTGATGGCCTCAGTGTATTCTTCTATATCTATGTGACTGTTGTGAGTGGCTGCTTGTTTGAAAATGTCCCAGTCTGTATTGTCAAAACAGTCCTCCAGAGCAGAGGAAGCCCCCTCCGGCCACACACCTACCTCCTTTTGTGTTGGTCTGATGGCTTTCACTCTGGGTCTGTATGCAGGTCTCAGCATGATGGTGATGTGATCAGAGAGACCCAGGTGGGGAAGGGGGGGGCGGCGGCTTTGTATACACCCTGGCATGCAGTGTACACAAAGTCCAATGTGTTGTCTCCTCTCATTGGAAAGTCCACATGAAGTCCCCAGCTGTGATGAGGACTCCGTCTGGGTGCGCTGTCTGTTGTTCACTGACGGCCTGGTACAGTGCATTCAGTGCCTCACTCCTATCAGTGGTGTTAGCGGTGGGAGGAATGTATGCAGCTATCAACAGCTACATAAATAGAAAGGCCGACACTTGATGATAATAAACTCCACCAACGGAGAACAGTGTTTATGAACAATAGCTGCGTCCTGACACCAAGCATCGCTGATGTAAACACAAACTCCCCCTCCACGTGTTTTACCTCTTTCCACAAAGACTCGGTCAGCTCAGTAGCATGTTAGCCCAGTTAGCTGGATAGTAATCAGTTGCTTTTTTGGAATGTTGGAAAATACCTATTCCCAGAATCCCAGGCCAGATTGCTTACTTCTGAGCACCTGACCAAAACCCAAACATACACACTTTACTATGATATGAAACGGATAAAAGTGACAAAAGTGGTAAATTCTTACTTGAATGCGACTTGAATTAGTTGCTTATTAATTTTAGGTATTAATCCACAGATTGATTAATTGACCAGTTGTTCCAGCATTAATGATCTCTGTGTTACTTTTGTTGCAGTCTCGCAGTGTGGACAAACAGCACGCTGTGATCAACTATGACCCAAACACAGATGAGCACATGGTGAAGGACCTGGGCAGTTTGAACGGGGTGAGTGAATCCTCCACGCACAGTGGTAAAAGCCGTTGGACTCCCTGAAGGCTTCAGTGTTAGAAATATCTGTTTGTGCTCCAGAGGGGATGAACAATCAGCGATAAAGCGAAGACTAGGTCAGACCTCTTTCTTTCCACCCATTCTTTCTCACACTTTAGCCCTAGTCTTTTTTCACTGCTGGCACCTTGATTTCACCATGATCCCAGTGAAATCCAGAGTTCAGCAGCAGAAGAAACCATTCATTGTTCTCACAGAATGTTTCTTTTGGCTTTGGTTACCCCAGAAAAAATAATCAG